GTCCATTAGTCCACTGTGTGTGGGGGTCAGCATGGCTGTGGGCCACATGGGAGAATGCCAAGAAGCCAAGTGTGAGGCATAAACCAACCATGACAAGAGGAACGACGAGAGCAAATTCCTGGGCTCAGGGGGTTATATATCCCAAATTTCTGCATGCTTGCAGTAGCTATGCCCATTCTGGCCAAGGAGCTCTGTCCTTTGCTCCTTTCCTATTATTAATAATTAGCTAATTACAACTGTATCAGGAACAAAGCAACAATTATATTCTAAGATAAAAATCATTGCAATGTCTTAATTGGGCCCAAGGACAAGATTTAGAAATTCTTTGTGATTGTGTTTTGGCAATTATTCTGGCGACACAGAGAAGGTACATATGGACTAAAAATTCTGGCTAGAAAAGTCTGAACTGTGGAAAAATACATCTTAGTATTCCCAGTCTATGTTTTATGCATGAGGCCAAAATGTAGCACATGGATATTTACCTGGAAAATTGCTGATTCTAATGCAGGAGAAGAAAAAATGTTTTCCCTTCACCCTCCTGGGTTACCTGCCTGGGACTCTGAAAATTAAACTGATAAAAGACAAATTTAAAAGAGGAAAAAACATTCTAATTAGGTAAGTATGCTTGGAAATTTTACCAAAAAATACGACTCTAGGAGGCCAGATGGTTGAGGATAATATACTATCTTAGACTAAACAAAGGAATAGGTATTTGGGGCTTCTGGGTGACGAAGACAAGGTGAGGGGAGGGAATGTATGGTAAATTAGGGTTTTCTTGTGGGGTTTTTTTCCTAAATTTATTTATTGATTTTAGGGATAGGAGAGGGGGAGGGGGAGAGAGAGAGAGGGAGAAAGGTCAATTTGTTGTTCCATTTATTTATGCATTCATTGGTTGATTCTTGTATTCTTGTATGTACCCTGACCAGGGATGGAACCCACAACTCTGGCATATCAGGACTATGCTCTAACTAACTGAGCTACTGGGCCAGGGCAAGGTTTGTCTTTTTATGTAGATAAGAGTCTCTTAGGTGATAAAAGTTATCTCTGGGAGTGCTATCTTCCTGGTACTTCCTAGAGACACCATTATAAATGAAAATTTCCTTTATAAATGCAAATTTATTTTACAAAAGGAGAGATTTATACTCTATTCTAACGGGGAGGTAAAGAGCTTTTCCTGCATCTCCTGGTTTTGAATTGCCTCTATCTCAAAATAATTCATATGCCAAAGAGTTATATTTTGGGATGGCATATTCTGGGACACTTCATGAGTATAAAAAAATATCCATCTCTAATTTTTAATAAGAAAATAACTGATTATTTATTAGTGTTAATAAAATTATCAATTTATTATTACACACTATTTGGCTCCCAGGAGTATTAGTAACCAATCAGGAAAATGGGTAGTGTTAGCTATATTAAACAATAAACTGAGGTGACTGTAATGTCTTAGTAGCTCACTGAAGCAAACCAAAACTTACTGCCTCAAGGCTGAGAAGTGGAAACCTAAGGACAACCAATCACAAACAGCCAACTAGACTTCCCCAAATAAGATGAAGAAGAAAGAAAAGCTAAAAGTTCCTATAGTAAAAAGTGTTTTCTTGAGAAGAATCAGTCCTACATTCTTAGCCCTTGGATTGGTTCAGGACAGTTATCAGTCAGATGTGCAGTGGTCTGGAAAATGGGTGTAAGTGGATGTTAGGTAGTCTGGATAAATGAGTCAATCCTTCAGGGGGTAATCAGAGGATTATCTGGAGGTCTGGTATATGTCCAGGTATTGACACACAATAAACTGATTACCACAGGGCTGGAAAGTTCAAAAGTTTCAGTTTTTAGGCTAGTTGAAACAGGAATACAATCATTTCTTCATGCCTCAAGCTACTTGATTTTAGCCATTTAGCAGCTTGACTACAGTGGCTCCATTTTATTTTTTCATTCTGTTCTTCAAAGGTAACTGTGGAGGCCACAGTTAATCAAATGATTTCCTTGTTTTGCTTGTGCATCTTCTCTATTAAATCTTGCCTCTAGCTCCTGTTGGTGCAGTGCTCCTAACCTAAACACTTCTGGTTTAGTGCTGCCCAATTCCAATTGATTTTTGCTCAAATAAACTCTTAAGATGTCTGATATGCCTCAGTTTATCTTTTAGCAGTTTCATTCTGGTAGTTCATTAGCCTAAATCTCAAGTGGCTTACTCAAGACTCATATGTCCTCACTTAATATTTTAAAAGCTCCATGCCATGCACCTACCCAAAGCTTTATGACCCGTTTTAGGTATAATTTCTTGATAGTCACTACTATCAAATAGTTCAACTCTTTAAAATATAAAGTGAAATAAAAAGGAGCTCAAGTTAATAAAGGCATGGAGTATTGTGTTCACTTGTTTCTTTTGGACATTATGAAGTGATCTCTCATGCTGAATAGATGTACATTTGTACTACATTTAGCCTTGATTCAGAGATTCAAAGAGCAGAAGTTTATAATTTAAAAGAAGTAAACTGCTGGCTTTATTTGTAATCAACTCTGGTAGGATGTGGAATGATATGATTTTCAAATGTAATTCCAAAAACTGTATTAGCATCAAACTTATGCATATTCTTAGGACAGCTTAACTGACCTTGCTTATCATATGACTGGATTACAATCTAATATAGTAAAAGGATGTAGCAAAGTCATGATGTTCTCAAATTCTGAGCATACAGATTGCAAATGCCTAAAAAGAGGGTCAAAATGCCAAACATAATTTAAAATGTTTTAGACTAAGAAGCTTAAAATGCCTACGTTAACAGATCCTTGTTGCAAAAAGTTTCCATACTTATGAAAGCAAAGTCCTTCATTATCTGCACCAAACTTTGGTCCAAATGTTTAAGATACTGCAATGCATGGTAATACATTATTGACAAACAAATTTTTAAAAAATGTAATTGTATTTAAAACCCAGCCATCAAAATGCTCCATCAAAAGAAAAGGCCATCACCACAAGACATGTACTAGAATGTTCAGAGTAGCACTATCTCTATTAGCTCCAAACTGGAAACTACCCTAAAAACAAACAGAAGAATGAATTCATAAATTGTGGTATATTTACAGCAGGGGTGGGAAAACTTTTTTCTGCCAAGGGCCATTTATATACTTATAACATCATTCACAGGCCATATAAAATTATCTGCTTAAAAATTAACTATGAAAAAAGCTCCAACATTTATTGAATTTCGAGTTCCACCTGTGGTTGCTTTGGCAGGGCCAGACCAGATGATTTTGTGGGCCATATATGGCCCTCAGGCTGGATGTTCCCCACCCGGATACAGAATGGGATGAATTGAATAAATGGAAGAATCTTACAAGTAAAAAGTTGAGTAAAGAAGTCAAACACAAAAGAATGCATATTTTATGGCTCTGTATGTATATATCAAGTACAAAGACAGGCAAAACTAATATCTATGTTGTTGAAAATCAGGATAGGCAATGACTGAAAGGCAGTATGATGGGGTCCCTGGGTGTTAATAACGTTCTGTTTCTTGATCTGGGTGCTGGATACACAGGTGTTTTCAGATTGTGAAAATTCATTGAGCTGTATACACTTGGGTTATGTGTACATTTTTGTGTATGTATACACACATATAAAATACTTCAATAAAAAGTTAAAAACAGAAAGAAAATTCCAGAAAGCCCATGAAATATAAATTTCAACACAATGTAGTAATCCTCAAATATCATTATTAGAATTTGTGAGCCATCAATGCGAGAATCACTCTCCAAAAAAAAGTATTCAATGGAAGGGATTAGAAACAGTTGTGTCGGAATCAACATACATAACATGTCAAAACAAACTAATAATTTATCTTTAAAATCTCGAAGCTCTCCGCTTTTCTCTACCTGCAATGACATCACCATAGTTTAAGCCAAGTCATTTCTTATCTTGTGTCTCATCTGATAGAGTCTCCTACCCAGTCTGCCAATAGCCTGTTCTACCTGTTCTCAACACATTAACCAAAGTGATTTAAAATCTTAACTAGATCCTTTGACTCCTTTCCTTAAAATGCCTCAGTACAGCCCTATTAAATTTAAAATTAATGCAAACTCCAAGACTTGGCTACATGCTCTGGCTCCTGGCTCCCTCATCGGCCTCATGTCATATCGCTCGGGAGGGAGAGCAATAACTCTATTCTGGAGCCACACTGGCCTTCCAAAATGTCAAGCCGTCCCACCTCTGCCCAGAACAAACAGCATTTTCCTGGTTTCAGGACTGACTGATTCTTACTCTTCCAGTCTCCGTTAAATGCTACCTTCTAAAGTTCTCTTATGAGAACCCTCCCCATCCAGTGCCAACCTCCTTTATTCTCTACATCCGCACCTTGTCCATTTCCTTCCTTGGCGCTCGTTACTTTATTTGCTTCTTTACTTGTCTGTCCATGAAGGCGGCTGTCATGTCTATTTGAGTCACGGTTGCATCTCCAGTTCTTGGCACGGAGCCCGGTGTACCGAAGATCCCAGGTAAACAAATCCTCGAACGAATGAGCGGACATTCGCAAGGGATCACCAGGCGCCTTTTCTCTTACGAAGAGCGCTGCGCTGTGAAGTTTTCCAGGAATAACGAGGAACCAGGTGCCTTTCAAGCGCCCCGGCCCAGGCAAAGCGCTGGCATTGTTTCTGGTTTCCCACTTCTCTCCGCTACCGCCCCCCAGCCCCCAGGCGACACCGCCGCCGCTCGGGGTCGTCTACCCCGCGGGGGAACGTCTCCCGGCCCCACCCACCGCCGAGGCGCCTCCTCATTGGCCTCGCGGCGGAGGCGTCACGGCGACGGGCGACCGGCCCCCGCAGACGCAGCGCCGCCGCGCTCTGCTCCTAGGGCCGCTGGGCCAAGCTGCAGCCGCGGGGAGGCTCGTTCCCGTCGGGATCTGTGATTGGTGCTCAGGGCGTCGGGTGTTCAGCGCGGATTGGCCGCAGCGGCGTCAGTCAGTGGGAACAGACTCCCCGCCCCGCCCCCCAGCTCCATCTGGCCCACTGCGGGCGACAAATTCTCGAGAATTTCCAGCAGACCAGCCAGTGGCTCTTCGGTTTGCTCCAGAGATCAGGAACAGCGGAGAAGGCAATTTTCTTTACCAACCGAGAAAGCCCTTCCCCCGACCTCCGTTAGCTAATTAAAAAATTTCCAGGCACATAACCATCACGAGGTAAGAGTCTAGAGAGTGCATTTCATTTATTTGTTAACCTTTTACGATGTGACTTCTAGGCCGGCTTCCCTCCCACCGCCCCCGGGCCGCGGACTGCGAGTAGACGCGGCCGGGCTCCCCAGGCGGGAAAGGGAAATGCAGGTTTAGCACCCCAGTCACCTCAGTGCGAGCCCCGCGGTCCGCGTCTCCCCGGGTTTTCTGCGCCGCCTTTTCCTCGCGAGGTCAGGGGCAGCAGGGCCCGCCGGCTGCACCGCGGGAAGCGGCCGTTTCCTGCCGAGACCCCGGACTCCGCCTTGATTTTAACCGGGGGCTGGAGGCGCCCACAGAGCCAGGGCGTGGGGCCGAGTCGGCGAGAGGACGTGACCCCTGAAGGGACGGTGGACGCGGGGCTGGGGCCTGCCCGCGCGCGTTTCCCTTTCACTAGGCCCCTGGTCTCCCGACCCGAACCCCGCACGCGAGGGCGCTGCAGGGGGT